AGCAGCAAAGATTTCCGACGACATGTGGATTATATTCCATAATGTTTTAGTTCTTTCGCCTGAATTTCCCTTACGGTCGGAGGCTGATGCTAAAAATGTGATGGGGGACAAAAGGGGGCAAGGGCGAGAGTTTTTGCTTTTGAAGTCAATCTCTGTAGACATGAGACTCTTGATGTTGCTTCCCTGCAAAAAAATGGTTGGTTGGATGTGTATGTGTGTCTCTTCGACGACGATGATGATGATGACATGAAACCGACTATGATGGACCAAGACATTGATGGATGAAATGATGATGTTGTAGTTGTTGTTGTTATTTGTACTTCCACCGCCACCATCAGAACTATTTTTATGGTCCCAAGACATTTGGAATACAACAAATGTGTTTTTTTCTCCCCCAAAGCAGCAAGCCATTGAGGGCCAGGGAGAGAGAGAGAGGGGGAGAGGGGAGGAGCGACAGTTAGTCACTCAGTCATTTTTGTGCAAAGCAAAATATAAATACATCTTTTACTCTTGTTTTGCAGGGTATTTTGTTGTAGGGCTCTTCTTTGTTTATCTGACAGCCAGGATATTTTTAGAAAAAAAAAATATCAATTCGTTTTCCTTTTTTTTGCTTAAAGGCTTTTGGGAGGGGAGAGGGAAAGAAAGAGAGCTGAAATTTTTTGAGATTCATATTGGATACCAAGAAATATTGAAATATATTCCGATTGGAATTCCATGGAAGGAAATGGACAAATTTCGACAGAAATATCTACTTTTCCTGAAGTGAAATCCTGGAACTCAAAAGTCTAAAAAATTGAAAATTTAAAAAAATTGAAATTAAAAAAAATTGAAAATTTAAAAAAATTGAAAATTTAAAAAAATTGAATATTTAAAAAAAATGGAAATAAAAAAATCAAAAAGTAAAAAAATAGATATATATTTCTAATATAGGATTGGACAATTTTTGACTGAAATATCAACTTCTCCTGGAACTCGAAAGCCCAAAAAAAAAAAAAGAAAATCGAAAGTTTATAAAATTTAAATACTGAACTTGTATGGAAATTTATTTGAGATTTATTTCGGATATCTAAAAAATTAAAAATTTAAAAAAAATTGAAAATTTAAAAAAAAATCAAAAATTAAAAAAATTAAAAAAAAAAAATAGATATATAGATCTAATATGGAATTGGACAAATTTTGGCTCAAAAATCAATTTCTCCTGAAGTGAAATCCTGGAATTCGAAAGCTTCCAAAAAATAAAATGAATTTCGAAAAATTAAAAAAGAAATCGTTATATCGAACTCATATGGAAATTTATTTGAGATTTATTTCGGATATAAGGAAAAATTAAAAAATTTCACATATTTTTCATTTCGGAGGTAAAATCCTTGGACTTCTCTAAAAAGAAGAGATATAAGTAAAATTCGTTATGGCTTTTGGGGGGATTCAGATAAAATAAAGCTAAAATCGCAAATTATTTAAGATTTAGTTCGTATACTAGAAAAAAATTAAATATTTGAATATTTTTCCATAGAAAGCAATAGAAAATTTTGAGCAAAAATATCAAGGTACCCACGGGGCAAAATCTTGGTTCCAACATCGACGCAAATGCCAACAGTGGTCTTTCTCTGGAAGCAAGTGTTGGTGGTAATTTTAGTGGTTCCAGTGGCTTAGATCTCGGTGCCGGTGCTAAACTCAGTGGATCTGGAGACTGGGGCTTAGGACTTGGTTCCAATATCGATGCGAATGCCAATGGTGACCTTAACGGTGGCATTTCTCTGGGAGAAAGTGCCGGTGGAAAACTAAGTGGTTCCGGCGGTTTGGATCTCGGTGCTGTGCAAACACAAGAATCAAGTCAAATTCTAAAAAAGATCGATCAAGATTTTTTTTCGAATTTTCCAGTTTTTGTTTCAGAAAACTTCCATGAAAGCCACAAAAATTCTCCAGACCTCATAATTTCTTTCTGATGATAATTCCTGCACTTTATGCGACTCCTTAAATTTCTCTTCTTTTCACACCACTTTTTTTCTTGTCTTTTCTTCGAAAGCCAACTGCGACAGCTAAACATTTCAATAAACGTCTCTTTATGTTTCTTCGAAATTTGTGGTATTTGAGTATCTTGTTTCCATTTGCCATTAAAGTGTCTGCAAGTTTTCCCAAACCAAAAATCCCCCAAAAAACTCAACAATTTTCTTATTCCTATTTTCCTAGAAAAAGAAAAAAAAATACAAATCAAACAGAAGAAGCCATGAGCTCAGGGATCGTTATATTTTTAGTATCGTTTTTTTTTCTTCTAGTTTATGACTCCTTGAAAAGGTCAGAAAATGATACACCACTACAACCTACCCCCACCCCACTCTTTAAGAAACACCACAAAACAACAAAAGTCCAAAACAAAAAAAAAAGTTATACAACAGCACTTAAAGTTTGACGCCACCACGACGACGACAACATTTGGTGTGGCATGTGCCAGGCCCAAAAAAAGAAAATTCCATGTCGGTGGATTTGGCCAACAATAACATCATCATCATCCTCTTTTTCATCTCCATTGAAGACGTCCTTCGAAGAATAGCCACAAAAAATAAAATTTTGGGAATTAAAGTAAATGATGTGTGGACAATGGAGAGCAGTATTTTTAACAAATATGTTAAAAATTATTGGGATTTCTTAAACTTTCTATGATATCCCTTAAAATATGCTATGCTCTAAGCAGGCACACATAATTGAAAACCATAGAGGAAGACATATCCCTTAAAATATGCTATGCTCTAAGCAGGCACACATAATTGAAAACCATAGAGGAAGACACATTTTGTGGCTTAAATGAAAACCTGTTTGGGTAAACAGTGATTACGAAAAAAATGTGTTTATACATTTAAAAACAAAGACTGATTTTGAGTTTTTAGTTTAAAGATAAATAAAGTGGTGCCTAATTTTAGGATATAAATATGAAGAATTGTTACAAATCAGGCATATATGATGGAATTCTTAGATATATTTTTAATATAATTTTTAAGACAACTTTTCCAATGATTTCTGAAACTTATTTAAAAAAATTAAAAATATTGCATAATTTTAGGAATTATTTATTACAAGTTTGCCAGGAATCCAGAGATATATCAGAAATATATTTACTTTTCATGTTCTCAAGTAACATTTAATATGTTTTCCAATTTGGATACCATTTCAAGGACTACTGAGGCCCTATTAAAATTAATCCTGCATATTTTAGGGTGTTCACTTAGGAAACTTGAGGCCCTATTAAAATAAATACTGCATATTTTAAGGCGTTCACTTCGGAAAGAATTTTCTTTAATTACTCTAAAATATGGTCATTGAGTCATTTTGAAAAAAATAGTGCATACTTTTGGGAGTATAATTTAACACAATACCTAATAAAACTAAATTTTCCACTGATGATTTTCATATATGTCATAGAGTCTAATATTTTAAATAAATCCTCATTTGGTTTAAGGATAGTAGAGTCAAACAGGAAAAAGTGCTGCATACTTTTAGGCAAACATTTCAAAAACTGGCTACATAGCATCGCAACATTGATCACTTTATCATCAACCAAATTTTCAGATATTACTGAGTTCTTTATTTATATTATAATTTAAGCACGAATTTAAAGTGTTGCATACTTATAGGCACTATATTTGAATTTTCCGACTATTAACAAAAATTAAAAAAAATATTATCTAGGATTTTTTTTGCTGTGGATGTTTTAAATGACCTTAAATTTTATCTCTTTTTTTTTAAAGAAGTGATCGCTTTTATTAGAGTCAGAGAAGAGAGAAAAATGTGCATAATTCTAGGTTCCATCTGAAATTTATGACAAGAAGAAGATAAAAATGGGAACTGAGTTAACAATTTGGTAATAAATTCCAAAGAGTTGCTTTAAATCCCACCAATTTCCATGATTCGAGTAAATTTTTGAAAGTTAGCCCCTAAATGTATGCACCAAATTATTACAATTTTTGGAAAAAAATATAAGAAGCATTTTTAAAGCCATTGTCTTTATTTTAGGCTTAAATACACTTCATTTAAAATGATTTCCAAAATTCTGCACTGTGGGTATCAAGGGGCCGATTCTCAAAAATTCCCCGAACGAAATTAATTTTAAAACAAAAATGTTGCATACTTTTAGGTTCAATCGGGAAAGCATGGCAACATATTTAATTCAGTTCACAGTGTTTCTTTAAATTCCCAAAATTTTTGAATGTTAGCCCCTAAATGCATGCATCAGAATATTTCAATTTTGACAAAAAATTAAAATAAAGAGTTTTCAAACCCAAAATATATGCATTGTCTTTATTTTGAGTTTAAATGCACTTCAAATAAAATTATTTCCAAAGCCCCGAAAAAAATTAATATTAAAACAAAAAAGTTGCATAATTTTAACTTCTCTCTGGAGATCATGACAAATACTAATTCAGTTAACAATTTTATAATAAATTTCAAAGAGTTTTCTTTAAATTCCTCCAATTTCATTGATTCGAGGGAATTTATGAAAGTTAGCCCCTAAATGTATACACCACATTATTAGAATTTTGGAAAGAAATTATATAAAATCTTTTCACTTTGTTAATATATGTATTGTCTTTATTTAGAACCTAAATGCGGTTATTTAAAGCTATTACCAAAATTATACAATGTGGTGCATACATTTAGGAGTTTATTTTTAAACATGTCGCATTATTGTGGTCTCTCATTCATAATATTCCTGAAATTTGAAATAGCAATAAAAATTTCAAATTTATTTCAAAAACTGTTGCCTACTTTCAGGCTTATCCTTTTTTCAAAATAATTAGATTTTAACGAAACAAAAATTGGAAAAATTGTCAAAAATATAATGTATTGTTCGTGTTGAAAAGAAAGGACTAAATTAATTTGAATTGAATTGTTTAAAATTGTTAATATTTGTTTAACATAGTATACTTTTAGGATTAAATTTAATATGCCTCAATTGTTTTTCCCACACAATATTAATTTGTTTATCTCTTTTCTTCTCCTTCCAGATTTACAAATTTTAAATGATATTTAGCAGCCAATACTTTATAAAGAAAACCAACAAATCCAACATCATTCAATGAACAACTAAACCAAAACAGCAGCAGTACTTAACCAAAAGCAAAAACAAAACCAAAAAAAACCGAAAAAAATATTCATGCAAATTTTGAAAAACAATTTCAATTAAAATCTCCAATCAGCAAATCTCCCAGAGAAAACCAAAACCAAAAAATAATTTCCATTGAACAAAACAGAAAAAAATTTTAAAAAAGATTAATTAGAAACTAAGAAGTCCAGTTTTTTGAGATTAATAAACAAAATCACGCCATTTACAAAAAAAACCCAAAAAAAAAGAAAGAAAAAAATTAACACTTCAAACTAAAAGCAACAGCAAAGTTAAGCTTCATAACGAAAACCAAAAAAAAAAAAAAATAAATCGCATATTAAAGAAAAGTGAAGTGAATTTTCCGAAAAGAGAAAGAAAAACTCCCTGCAAAGCTCTTTCCAGTCGAAGAGAGCGAGCAAATCCTCTGCAAACGCCAAACTTTGCAAGAGAGCCCAATCCAGAGCGAGTGTGTGTGCGCGCCAGTGAGTAGCAGCCAAGTGTCTTGTGTGCGGCATACTGCAACAATTTGTGGCAACTTGGCAAGCAGTCTGCCCCAACAATTGCCGCAGATCGCAACCCAAAGCAAGCAAACCAAAGAAGAACAATCTCTTCAGTATTACCAAAGCGGACACACCAAGTGTTAATCCACAAAAAAAAAAAAAAAACAAAAAAACAAAACAAATTTAATTTAAAATAAATCCATGTGAAATTGTAAATTTCACAAAATTTGTAAAAAAAAAGAGCAAAGAAAATTCAATTTTCTTGAGTGTACAAAAACAAAAGTATTTTGAAAGAAACGTTTTTTTAAAAAAAGAACTGAACAAAGACTGATGGTTTGAAATTACTTTCCCAAGGGAAATAAATTGTTGAAATATTGTGTTAAGCAAAGCAAAGGAGGGAACCCCACTCTCCCTCTCTCTGTATCTCAGTGAGCAAATCTCCTAACGGTTGATGTTTTCAAGTCAAACGGAATTGTGAGATTGTGATTTTGGAAATCCAAAAAAGAAAAACAGAAAACCAAGCCATAAAAGACAATTCAACGTTCCTCAATAGCTTTGTGAGCAAGTGCAAGCGGTTTTTTTGCTAAGAACAACTTAAAACTTCGTTAAGAACGATCTGTGATGAGCGATCAGGTGAAAATGAATGGCAATGGAGGTGGTGACTCGGCCGCCGCTGCCGCCGCCATTGACCCTCATAATGGCAATCCTCAGGAAACTACTGTGGACTCTGCGGCCAATGGCAGTGTCGATGTGGCCAATGGCAATGGTGGTGTGGCCCAACAGCCGCAGAGTTTGGATTTAAGTGGAGCCGGTACTGCTGGTGGTAGTGGTGTTGGAGGAGGTGTGGCTGCTGCTGCTGCAGGCGGAGATGCCGCTTCGATGGCTGGTGACGATGCTGGCACCGATGCCGGGGCCAGCTCTATACCACCCTCGGAAGCTGGTGGTCGTCCACCCCTGGATACGGTGGGCTCTGAAGGTGGCGGTCCTTCGAGCATGGGTGGCATGGTTGGTCCACCAAGTCCTTTAACCGGTTGTTATTTATTGATCATTTTGGGTGAGCCGCATTCGGAGGAGCATAAGGATAATATCTTGCAGCATTTGCTAAAGGGTAAGTCAAGGGAAAATGTTGATTGAAAAAAAAAATTAAAAAAAAAAATGTCAAAAATGAAACTGTGTTGGCATTTTGGTTGTTTTAAAATTGACAAAAGTAACGTCTATATTTTTGTGTTTATAAAACTGATGTTTATTTTTTTGTGAAGGAAAAGGCAATAAATGGCCTTGTGTGATAGGGAAAATTAAAAAATCTTAAATAACAACAAATTAAATAATAATGGGATTCGGAGAAGAGTTTTAAATTTCATAAATATTTTTTAAAGAAAAAAATTGCTCGTCGCTCCTACAGGAGTTAGCCCTAGAATCTACAAATAAATCCAAAAAATGGGACTAAGAAAATTAATTTAAATATTAAAAAAATCTCCGCCAAAAATTAGGAAATTATTCTTGAAACAGAGAAAAGATTCTGAAGACTAATTCAATTAGAAAACATTGCAGAAAATACGAATCCAGAAGGAATATTAATACAACATTTTCCATATCCTCTAAAATTGTAAATCTCTTAATTAAAAAAAAAATTAGTCAAAAAAATATTGTGAAGAAATACGCCCTTTGGAAACAGGAATGAAGAAGCACGTTTTCGAAGAGACATTTGATATACCAAGGAATCTAGATGTGCAAAAATTGTAGCATAATCGGCTAAATCTTAGGAAATCACTTAAATGCTTAAGGATAATAACTCTCTTGCTGGTCTACCTTTTGTAGACAAAAACAAGTAAGGGAGAGAGAGAGAGAGAAAAAGAGAGAGAAGAACAGTCTCCTATTCAACCCGAAACAAATCCTTCCTTTAAATAAAGAAAAACGATCCATTTCAAAGTGAGAGGCTAGGATTTTTCTTGACTTCAGAGACAGCAATGGATATTATTCTTAGAAAAGAGCAGAAGTTATTTCTCCCCAATAGAAATATTTTATTTTCCAGAAGTTATTTTCCAAGGATCCAAAATATATCAAAATTGCAAGGAAATCTACAATAAAAGGCTTAGTTCTATAAGAATAAGGTCCATCTTAAGGCTAACAGGTCACATAGAGAAGTGAGAGTGAGGGAAAGGGAAATATCTCCTTTTCTCCTGAAACCACAAAAACGTTCTCAAATAAAAGATAATTTTTTCAGAGAGTGAGAGAGAGAGGGGGCGAAAAACGAGAAAAATTGAAGAAGTTTTCTTTGTGGAAGAAGCGGAGGTTTTTAATGGAATATCGTGATTTATATTTTCTTATGGGGTATTAGGCTAAGATATATCTCAGTATTCAAAAAAATATGGATTTCTAAAAGGATAAGGACTTCAAAAAGTATATGGACTTCATCACACATCAAATTGTTAGGGATCAATCATTGAAAACTTCTTAAAAAAGGGAAAAGGGTATTTCTCAGAGAGAGAAAGTAGTTTCTTTTTCTCACAGAAAAATAGAAGAATGAATGGAGGGGGTTTGACTTTTTATTAAATATCGAGAGTTATGGGGTAGTCGAGAATTCGAATATTCTCCATTCTAAAAGAATATGGACTCCCTTTCAAACCAAATTTTTGTGGTCATTCATAGAAAGCTTAAAAAAAATACAAAAAATTGAAAGAAGAAAAGGGGGGGGGGGGTGCTTTTGATTAAATATCGCGACTTATTTCTTCCTATAGGGTAATAGGCTTAGATGGGGAAGTCGAATATTCTAAATTCTAAAAGAATATGGTCTCCCTTCCGCACCAAATGTTTGATAGTCATTCATAGGAAACTTCAAAAACAAAAAAAAAGGAAAAACTATATTTTTCGGAGAGAGAGGGAGAGAGAGAGAGAGAGGGATAGAGAGAGAGAGAGTGAGAGATATATAGATAGTATAGAAGATAGTATTTTTCTCATAGGAATAATGGATGGACTATGGAAGCATGGGTGGCTTTTGATGGAATCTTAAGATTTTTTTCCATAGCCTCTCACAACATTTTTTTTCAGAGAGCAAAGGATATTATTGCTATATTTTTTTAGAAAGGCATAAGATCTTTTCTAGAGGAAAATAAAGTTACTTTCTTCTACAAATGGGAAGAATATATTTTTTCATAACCACCCGGGAATCTCTTGATAAATTACCCCTTTTTTCATAAAGGGTTATATTTATTTTTCAAAAGAAGGCCAAATTTTGTTTTCTTATTAGAGGAACAAATTTTTATTTTTCCCAAAAGAAGAAAAAGGGGTAAAAGCAAATGACTAGGTATATGACTAGCAGAAGTGGAAATTATTTTTCGTTAAAATTCTGGATATGGGGGCTTTATGAAAAAGTGGATTTATGGGGAATATTTTTTCCCAGCCACTGGAATGCGAATGACGGCTTATATGACTGGAAATTGGTGTAGGTACCTCCAAAATAAGGAAAATCAGGAGCTAGCGTTATATGGAGCCATACCTAAAAATGGAGCGATTTGTAATATTCTACGAATATTAGCTCGGCCTTTGTTAAATTTCGATAATAAATATACATAATTTATGGAGTCTCCGAGAAATGCGTTGAGATATTGCAAACGGAATGACAAATGTAATACACCCTTAATTTTAAAATTTATAAAATAAATCCATTTGTGTTGCCTACTTTTAGGATATTTCTTTTGCCTGTAAATAAATTTCAATGAATTGAATATTCCATTTCAAATGACCTCTTAACCTTTTGTCCATCTATACGTTTAAACATTACAAATTTAATCCGCCTATAAAGAAAGTCAATTAAAATGATACAAAATGGAAAACATAATAACAAATCCTGTTAAAAATGCATTTACGAATTATTTAATTAGCCATGTTTAAATAACCGAAAAAAAAAAAAATAATGACAAACAAATGGCTGCTGCAGCATCAGCAGATATTTGATGAGCAAGATAATAACGATTGTGATGATGAAAAATTTAAAAACACAAACCAAACTTTAATTATAAATTTTCCATCAAAGATAGCACGAGACGCATACCTACAAACAAACAAAAAAAACATTCAAGCAAACATACAATTAGATTACTATCGCACATCGTTTTGTTTTTTGTTGTTACTGGTTTTAATGCCGGCAAAATGCACAGCCAACTTGTATTTGAAATTGCACAGAAGCATTGCCATAAAGAAACCAAAGGCAGACAGACACATAAGCACACAGACAGACAGACAAATTGCAAATTACAAAAAAAAAAAAAAAAAAAAAAAATGCCAATCAAAGGCGTATTGAGAAAAATGAGACATTATCATAATTGAAATGAAATAAAATAATGGATTCGAATTAAAAAAAATAAACAGATATGTTTTCTAATCTATTTTCCCTTTATGATCAATAAACATATTGTAGTGCATACTTTTGGACAACTTTCGGATTGGATTTTAATTTAAAAAAGAAGGAATAATACAGTTATACACCCAATAATTTTTTTTTATTATTTATTGTTGCTTGTTAGGATAAAAAAAATATATTTTATGTTGCATACTTTTGGGCAAACACTTTTAGAAAAATTTCTAATCAAATTGGATTTTAGTTTAAAAACGATAATACAGCTCGAAAACATAATCTTTTTAATTAACTTTTGTTTTTTAAGAACAACCGAAAAATTTTATGTTGCATACTTTTGGGCAAAAATTGTTAGCCAACTTTCAAATTGAATTGGGTTTAAGTTTAAAAATGAAAGGACAATACAGCTGGATTAATTCGAATTGAATTATTATTAATTACTGATTGTTATAATTAATTTTTTTATATTGCATACTTTTGGGCAAAACTCGTAAAAAGCTGAAAAATCGTTGAATTTAAAATCTATTCTCATTTACAGTAAAAAACTGAACAGTTTTTTTTATTATTAGCTATATTATGATGGATAAATATAATCAATAAATATGTTTTTCGTTGCATACTTTTGGGCAAAATTTTCAGAAGACTTTAAAACTGTTGAATTACGGTTTTAAATCGAAATGTAAATGGATAATACAGTAAAATACTTAACCGTTTTTTATTATTAGTTAGTTTATGATAGATAAATATGATCAATAAAAATATTTTATATTGCATACTTTTGGGCAAAATTTGTGAAAGACTTCAAAATTGTTGACTTTTTGTTTAAGATCGAAAGGTGAATGGACAATACAATAAAAAAAATCTAATAGCTTTTTTATGATAGATAAATATTATCAATAAATATATTTTATATTGCATACTTTTGGCCAAACTCATAGGAAGCTCTCAAAGTGTGGGATTTTCGTTCTAATTCGAAATGTGAAAATGCATTGCAACTTTAAACCCAATAATTACTTTTTATTTTTACATATTGTGTATTGTGATCAGTAAATATTTTTTTTGTATTGCATACTTTTAGGCAAATTTTGTAGGAAACTTTCAAAATGTTTTATTTTAATTTTAAATCGAAACAATGCAGCCCTTAGCTCTATATTTTTTTTATTATTATATAAAATTCTAAAGATATTTTATATTGCATACTTTTGGGCCACATTTGTTGGAAACAGCCAAAGTGTGGAAATGTAGTTCCAAAATGTGAAAGAGCAATACAGCTGTAAAATCAATTTTTTTTTATTATTTCATTCTGACCAATAATATGTTTTATATTGCATACCTTGGGGCATTTTCTTTCAGGAAATTGTTAAATTTTTGAATTTTATTTTTAAATCGAAAGGGGAAGAAACATTGAAGAACTCAACTCCCATTTTAAAATTTTCTAAATATCAGTAGATATTAAACATTTCGAAAATAAATTAATTTTATGAGTCCTACATTCAATGTCTGTTACTAGGCTGTTATTCCAATTCAGCCAAAGGCATTCCCCATTTGCCAAATGCATAAAGCGTTAAAACACTCTTTTTTCCTACAATTGGTCAATTATTTTCAAATTACATCACCTAGCCATTGCCCTTCCACATCAACAAACAAACAAACAGACGGACGGACGGACGGACAGACACACACAAGTGCATAAAACTTTGCCAGCCGTCAAAACCATTATAATGCCATATAATATTGACGGTAGGTTTTTTTTT